AAGGAAAGAAGAGATCATTCAACAAGCACCTGACATGTCTGACTCAAGCAGTCCTGGGATGATGTGGTGTGAATGCGCTGTCCCACACCAGAGTCTGGATTTCCACTGCAGGATGTCACATTGGGGCTTGCGTCCAGACAGGATCTCACCAGCTCTGTGTATCGGCAGGACACTGATGCCATCAGATCTGTGGGGAGCTGTGGGAGCTCCTCAGAGAGCTGCTTCAGGGTCCTGGACAGGCCAACACATCCGAGTCCCTGAAGATCACTGCTCAAACAACATAAAAACCAATAACCATTCTTTGAAGGTTAAATAATCCTCTATATCAAAGATAGCAATATACTGTTTAACAGATGCCTGTATTTAATAAGTAGAGATATAGTGGGAAGTTTGGTGTCCTAAGCAGAGAATGATGTCACTCCCGATCAGCCTCATCTGTGCTTTTGTTTACAATGCTCCGTGGCCACCAGGAATGCGTGCCTACTGTGTAGACAACTGAGCACAGCGACTAAAACTGATGTTTTTTCTTTTATCTCAGCCGCTCTTGTGAATTATGAGAATTTTGGTTGCTGGAATATCTGCCAGAAGAGGAACCAAAACACACATGATATCCTTTATTTTCGGTGATTATCACTACTGAAACATATCCTCAAACTATGAATATTAATTATATAATATATATAATAAATTATATTGTGTATTTTTGCCATTAGATCCTCCTGTTATAAGTTCTCAAGGATACACACAGGTGTGTTCTCAGCTGTCACCATCCTAGAGGAAATTCATAGACTTTAATCTGTCAATGTTGCTGGCAGCAAGGAAGCACAAATTCTATAACCAAAAGGACCCCTGAACCCACCACCCCTGAACTTAATGCCACATTAAAAACTTACAAAAGCTGTGCAGTGTTAGAGAGCGAAGGCAGAAAAATGTAGGCAGGGCAGAGTTCAGCACTCTAAGGGAGTCGGACCCACACTGCCTGATCTCCAGACAATGGATCTGTCCCCATGGACAAGCCCCCACTAAGGGACCATCACATGGAGTAAATTTCTGACAGAGAATGTGCGGGTCCACAGTCAGCTTTGCTTTTCCAGACTCCTCCCCCTTCACAGCCACAGAATCCAACTTTAACTGTTTGCATGGAGTGACTTCATCATCCTGATCTTCTGAAGTCCTGGTCTCAACACCTGAACTGCAACTGGCCTCGTCTGCACTGGCTGAAGCCGCTTTAGAAACACAGTTTGCCTTTTTGCTGCCCATTACATTCTTCAGCTCTGGGTTTACATACTGAGATCCCCTTCCATGTAGGAGCCAGGCCAGCACAACGGGACACTGCACATGTACGACAAGTTCTTTAGCCACGCCGTGGTCTAGTAGGCGATGGAGGACATACAGCGCAGTCTGTGTTTTCCTCTTTGATAGATCAATGGACTGTGATACACCAACACTCCTGATACGCTTCTCTAAGAGGTTCAGAAGGGGCCGCTGCTCAGCAGTCAAACTCTGAAGGGGCTTATGCAAGCTCGTAGTGAGTAAAAAATGTCTGATACATTTCGCTGCGGCCCACAGGAATGATGGCGTGTTTAAATTTGTGATGTTTCGTTTGACGAAGTTGTTTGTGAAGCCATAGAATACAATAGTAAAAAGCATTCTCATAACTTCGTGTTTGGCCTCCTCTTCTGTGTGCAAGTCTATGACCTGAAAGGTAACACAGAATACATATTACCCCTGGGTTTTAGGTGTTACTATACATGTGATTTTTAAGACATTAGACCACCTACATGGTTAGGTCCACACATATCCTGCAGTATTCCAACCCATCCAGAGCGAGTTGATATCCCTAAGAGAAGGCAAACACAAAATTACATCATCTCTATGAAGAAATAAAAGACATAAATACAACACACCATCTTTGCACTTCAACTGCAGATCTTACCTCTCTGATTTAGGGTGGGCTGGAGCTCATCCAACTGACATATAGTGAGGTGCGGAAGAAGATCCTTAATGAGAGGCGCTGGAAGATCTAAGTAACAACAGATTGGTTAGGACAGTCTAAAAGTGGACACAAATTCCCACACCACCAGTAAGTAATAAAACTCACCACAGCATCTATGAATGGGTGAGGCTATGATACCAGGAGGACAATGATATATATAATTTATATAAATTTAATATATTTTAAAGTGAGTTGGAACTGACCACAATCCATATGCATGAATGTTAAAATGTGTCTTTTATATGAGGAACTATTTTACTTCGTTTTAGGTGGTGGGAGTGAAAATGAGGCTGCGTTCATACTGCAGGCCTTAGTTGCTCAATTTTGGATTTATTGTCTGATCCGATTTTTTTTCTTAGCTGTTCACATTATTTGTAAGGTCACAGTCCTGAAGTGAACTGCATGACAAATGTCTTATTTAGAGTGAGTAAGTCACAGAATCTGATATGACTGTTTACACTGCAAAAACTCTGGCCCAGTGTTTGTGTGTGGACTTACATATGAAAGTGGCCCAAAACAGAACTGAAAAGATCGGATTCCATGATTTGTGCCGTTCATACTGATGGAAGCAAACCATCACGGCACTGCGCCAATAACAACAAGCAGTACTGGTCTCGTCCTGTCTGTGTTGTTTTAAATGTCATTAATGAAGAATCAACCATCTGATTAAGACCTACGCCTGCTGCACTGTTAATGGCTCAAAGATTGTAATGGAGCTACTGCTTCTCCAGCTCTGACCACCCACTCTCAGAGGAATTTGTTCTTCACCCTTCCAGGAGGTTTTCTTGACAACA